TTTCTTTTTTTTTTTTTTTTTTTTTTTTTTTTTTGGGAGGAGGAGGGGTGTCAGGTAAACCAACAGCAATCTAAAAGCTCTATTCTCACTAATTATGTTAAAGGTAGATGAATGTGCTGCACATTCAATTTACTATTAATCAAGGATTGTAGGGTATGAGCACAAAACTGCTGAGTAAATTAGAAACAACCTTGACCTAAGCCTTTGTCCTTTTTAAAGGGGAGGAAGAGAACGGCATTCAAACTTCAGAGATGTCAATACTTCAAGAGACTGCAATTCTTGCAAAAATGGGAATAAAGAACAAAAAGAAGGATCAAGGTTAGAGCCTCATAAATCCAAGGTAAAAATCATACGCGGTGACAGGACTGCAAAGCAGAATAACTAAGAACTCAGGGAAACTTCATACTCCCAATTACTTTGAAATTGATTAACAGAAGCACTGTCAGTCTTTTACAACATATAACTGCATAGTTGCTTGTTATGATTCACAACCTACATGAGGAAACCTACACACGGGCTTTTGCAAGTGTTATTTTTAGGTATGCCCAACAGGGATCTGTTTAGTTTTTTAATGGAAATGTGGAACACGATTCTATCACTTAAAACAGACTAAGCCCCTCTCACACTTCTACAAAAGAGAGATGAGGGAGAGAGACAAGGCTCTTCCTTTTGTCCAGCAGTCACCAGAGTACTCAAAGACACTTAGAACTGACTCTTCTGCATAACTTTTGAACCTGCATTTCCCACACCTCGATTAGTACTCTTATTATCTGGCTATAACATACACAATACATTAAAGAAGCCTCTCTCCAACTTTTTGTGTAAAGCAGATGGTGAAGAAAAGGGAAAGTAGTATTTTGAGAAAAAGTGATGTAATTAAAGTAAAAATCAATTTGCAAAAAAGCTATCAGGTCTTAAACAATACATATAGAAACACATTATACAATTTAGGTAACAATATTCAAGTTAAAAAAATCCAAATGCCTCTGGAAGAGAACATCAATTTGCTAACATTACTTATGCTACAAAATTTCAAGAGTTTTAAGCCTTGTTTGCAAGCACCCTATATAGTCACTTACCATTCTGACTTGTCCTTTTCTCTTTATCAAAAGACTGTAACAAGCTGAAACATAAATACAAGTGTTTCACAATTTTGTAAAAGCCTATTCCACGTCTTTAATACTAGTCCCAGACGAAGCGTTTCACAAAACTCAGAGTCAAACTTAAAAGATTTAAATTTACTGTTGTTAATACACTTTAGCTAAAGTCTCATAAAAGACATGAGTAGTTGTCCCATTCGATATTTAACAAAGGAATTGAAATCTCTCCAATACCACAAATTTAAATTTTCACACAGATTAAAAGTGGTATGTACATAACACAAAGTAGATCCCAGAAGATCTCTAATTTACGGCCAGAAAAAGGAAAGCAGGCTATTCAGAACGTAGTCTTTTTGCATTGAATTTTGAGGCCTAAATTATTCCCAAACACAACTAAGCATCCTCTCCTAAAGAGCCGTCAAAAAAGGCGTTTTGGAAGACTGGTCCCTTAGTCACTCAGTTTCAAAGTCAATAGAAAATCTATTTTGAAATAGACATTGTGTTGATAAAATTGTTTTACCTGATACCTCATAGAAAAAATTACAAAATAATCAAGTCAAAATTGTCTTCACTCCAAGTATGCTGCCTAATTATACGTAAAAAACAAAGTTGCCATTTTTCCACAGTTTATAATCTAAGTTATAAAAAAAGCTTAGGTTAGTTTATGACCTAAACTTTAAAAACATGAGTTTTTTTTAAGAAATGTGATGTGATGACACTACTATCACATTACCATAACTGGTGAGTACATACCATATTCCTTGATCTTTTCCCTATTGCCAAGATATGAAACCAAACTATTTACAAAAACTGTTTCTTCTCTCTGGCCCTTCAGCAAAGTGAAACATAGCACCGATCAGAATTGATACGTAATTTTACCTTTCTTCGGTCTTTTCTTCCTAATTTTTCTAGATACTCAGAGCATTACTTTCAAATTTGCCAGTGCTTCAACTACTCAAGTTTGCATTTCTGACACAGCCAGCTATATTTCTAATAATGGACACATCTAACTTTGAGATAGCTCATCTATGCTACACACAGTAGTGAACAGTAACTCCAATTTAAAAGTGGTATTCCATACTAACATTGTGTATAAATTACAGATAAAAACATGAATTGAAAAAAAAAATCACAAAGTGCAATTTTTTTTTTTTAGCAAGGGAAGTAAAATTCTTTGGTGAGCATAGAAACAATGCACGGAATCTGTTTCTTTGCATTAAAATCCTGCCGAGTTGAACAGGATTCATATTCTGCCACTGTGCGATTTACTCGAGTTAGAATCTGCATGAGTTCAAGTTTCCTTGCATGTTCCTTCAACATTCTACATAGTGACTGAATAAACCAGGAGCCTTCAGCTGCATTTCTCCAGGAGTAATAGCCTATGGAAGAGAGATGTATTAGAACAATCAGATGTAGCATCCCCTAACACAGAACAGGATAGGAATTAAAGGAACAATGCATTGCTTCCAACAGCAATGAAAGTTTTTAAAAAAATGGAGAGAAAAAAAAAATCCAGAAACCAGCAACCAACAAAGTTTAGAACTGATGATCTCTTCAAATTCTAACACAAAAGATTGTTCTAATCCTCACATCTTTTCTAATCCAAGAAAACCAAGCAGGTGGAGAACTGAAAGGAGGAAAACGATGTCCTGCTGCAACAGTCCTAGCCACTAATCATTTACCATTTCATTATAGATCCACATATAAGGAGAGGTGATAGCACAGACAGAGCCAATACACTAAATGGATTTCAGTGCCACTATCTACAAGCTTCCATGCATAAATTAAAGACTGGAGCCTGTTTCTGCTGACTGAAAATGTAACGGGCATAGCAGGGGTTCTCTCGCTACTAATTTTGCTTAAGGGTGCAATGAAGATCTAGGTGTCACCCAAATAATACGTTGGCATTTATCACTACTTCTGTAGGTACGTTTTTACATATCTGATTGCCCTGTTCTCTCACAAGTAGCCTACTAATACCACCTTTTGTTTCTTGCCATCAGTTATTTGCACAACCCAAATTAACCCCGATTGATGTTATAGCTAAACTCAGGTATGTGACTGCAGATGAACAGTTGAGGTTTTGCCAGCGAGAAAGACCTATATACACATATATTTTTCCTCAGTAGGAACTGAGATTAGCAACAACCTCAAAAGGAAATCAAATCGGGGGAAAAAATATGGAGGAACGAAAATTCATATTTCCCCGAAAGAGAACAAATAATGTAATTGCCCACTAAAGAGTCCTCAGTGATCAGAGGACTGCAAATTGTCATTTACTATATCAGTAATAGCCGATATCTACGTACAATTTCGGCAACAAACATTTTCTTTGTGAGTTTCTCACCTGGAGCAGTAGAATATGCATATAGAAAGTCTGCTTCCACGGGTATTTTTTGACACATTGGTTCATCTGATCCACTGTCTGTCTCAATACCAGAATCTAATTCTGTCCCTCTACAAGCCTATTTGGGGAGAAGAATGGAAAATTAAATAAAAAAATAAGTGAGAAATAAAGGCAGCAATAGCCATCAGAATACCGATTTTTCCAGTTTTAAAGTTGGCAATTTCCCGATTAAAAACCCACAAAAATAACAAGACTTCATTTTCATTAGGTAGATGAAGTAGTAACTAGCATTTATTTAAATTAACTATCCAACTTGATTAAAATAGTTATTCATTCATAGGTATATTCAGAAACTCATTAAAATATTGGCTAGTGTTTAGAAAGATTTTGCAGTACCTTAATTCTATGGATTAAGTAGGCAGTATTTGTAATAACTCAGACTAAGTAGGCCAGATTGTGCCACTTTTAGTCCTGAAGAGAATCTTATTCTGAAAGTAATTCAGTTTGAATCAAAGTTAGAAACAATTAACTATTGGTTTTGCATTGATAATTAATGGGAAACATGAATTTTTGAAGTGTTCACATGATTTGAAGATCATTATTCAATTGTATATCACCTGAATGAAGAAGAGTTTGGGTTTTCCTGCCAAACTCCTGCACCTGTCACCTCTGAAAAGGCTTGTTAGTGCTTTCAGTTCAAGAGGGCCATCTGTACCATAGATGAGTCCTTCTTCACCATGGCTTAGCAATACACAAACAAAACTGCTTCTCTTGCTGTGATCTTCTTCAGAAGCTTGAAAGAAAAGAGAATTATCTTAACTTCTTGCATTCCCCCAAAATCTCCAAGCATGTGATACTCCCTATGTGACAGAGAACTCCCTGATTTCAAAACAACTGTTCTCAAATTTGGAAACTCAGAATCAGTTTTCACTTCTGAACCAAAGGAGCCAGCCTACTTTACTTCAGTAGGTTGGACACAGAAATCCCCAAATTAAAGGCCAACCCTACCATTCTAACATATGGCCACAGAACTAGGCCAAAAACATCCTAAGGAGACAAAGTGGGTTGGCTGTAATGGTTTTGCACAGCATCGCAAAGCCTGAATGGTACACCTTGCTCTTACAATAGTAGTCAACAGACTCCAGATATGGGAACAGACTGATGGGGAGTTCTGCGTTTCAGGAAAGGATAGGAAAGTCTTGTCTGTTTTTTCAGTCTGAGAGATGTTTCAACTGCTTGGATTACATGGGAACTGAATGTAGCATGAATGCTGCTGCTGCTGCAGGAACCTAAGCATTAACATTATCTCTCTCACCCCACAGCAAGGTACGGCAAGATTTTTCAGGCCTCTGGGTTTTCTAAAGACCTAAAGACCTTTAAGTTTTTTTCTTTCTTTCTTTCAATCTGGGGTGCACAAACAGCATAGAACAGATGTTCAACGGCCTCTTTTGTCGCCTAGGCTTGTAAGAACTGTACTTGAGGACTGAGATGTTTCTTTTCAATATATGAAGAGAAACAAACAAGGCATTCGATTTAGAAAAAGGGATCCAAAAGGAATTCTGAATGGGAACCTTAAGAAGATATAAAAGTTTCTATCTAGAAGAAACAGGTAACAGTCTTGAGAGCTGAAATCTTTTGTTTTAGAGCTATGCAAAATACTGTATTTCTATTTTGGAAACACTGAATTTTGATTTTCCTCAAGTGAAGCACATGCAGGCATTTCTATAATCCACGGACAAGCACTGCATCCAGAAAAGTCAGAAAATAACAGTACAAACACCTTCTGCAAGCCCTTCTTCCTCAGAAGTAAGCAGATACACCTGTCTGTTTTTTGAGAATCTCTAGTTAGGCTGCAGTTCACAGTTACGCTGTCCATTTGGAGGCTTTACACCACAAGTAAGACTGAAATCAGAGAATGTCATTTCCTGCTTTCAGCCTGTCCAATAGACAGGCTGCAATTACTGTGCCTGGGAGCATTCTCTGTCAGAAATACTAACTGGCAATAAAGAGACTGCATCTATATTAGTAAATACTAAAAAAAAAACAAAAACAAAAAAACCCCACTATGCATGAAAACTGGCTATTGGGAACAGTCTGAGAGCGCGCTAGTCAGCGTGTGCCACAATCACACCCGAGAATGTTCCAATATTTAACTGATATAGAATAGGTGTTCCAGGGCAATAGATCATCTCCGTGTACCGTTAAATATACTGGTCTAGATGTAGCCAAGCCCAAACAAAGCAAGACTAACACAAACAGTAGTATAAAGCTGTCACTTGAGAGAAGGGTATGGGTTTTTTTTCCCCACAAGTCAGACAAAACATGAGTTATTTTATTTATCTCAAAGAGTAATTCAGTCCACACACTTGCATTTCTGGTTGTTAATCAGAATACCTCTTAGGCCACACCACTAAGCGCAGAACACAGAAACCCCTCTCTACCCAATTACACAGGTTTCTTTCCCACTCGCAGAACTTCAGTGGTCCAAGGGTCAGAAAAGTCAGTCAGTCTGCATTTAATTTTCAGCCTTTTTTACCAACCCTCTTTCAAGAAGATGAAAAAGGATACTGAGGAAACAGTCAAGCGGCACAAAAGATGGACAGACAACAAAGATGAATGAATACAGAAACTATGATGTAATAAATAAACCCCTCAGAGTTATTTAGGTGTGAAACATTCATGGAAGAGAACCATGGAAGAGAAGATCTGCAGGCAAGAGGTGTATTTAGAAATAATGATGGATTTAATGCACATACTGATCATATTATTACTTACTGTTTTTCAGTAGTTTAAAGATGTCACTGCATGAAAGATCATTGTTAAGCTTGATTTTATATCCTAACTTCATAAAAACTTCTCTGACACTTGCGGCATCTGCATCTGTACCTGAACGAGGTAACATTCCTATACATAAAAGAAATTTATTATTTTGATATGATATAGACAGCATAGTCTGTCCGAGCCAAATGCTTTCTTATTGATACCTGTATCAGCCTAGAATATTATGCACGCCATCCCCCTCTCTACCTATTTTGGAGATTTATTTATTACTTATTTTTATATCTACCTATCCATGCAAAAGAGAGAGAAGAGGATTTCATTTACAAACTACAAATTATGACTAAAAGGTAAGACAGAGTTGCACTGCAGATTAGTTTTTCTCCCCATTGCTACTATACTCTAACATGTGCTCTCTATGCATATTTGGAAGAACGCACTGAAATAAGTTACGCTCATTTAAACAACTTAATTTTAGATCACTGTCAAAATTGGATTGTGTATTTAATTTTGAAGAATAATGTGCACAGCTAATTTACTTCAACTAAAGAAAACACCTAAAAACACATATCTGTGTGATTCTGTGTGAAAAATTTGAATAAGATACCAGTTGCTCGATGGAAGTTCTTGTTGTTTATTATTACACATTCTCCCATCTCTGGGTAGTCCATTCTGTAACTGTAGTCTGGCAGCATTTCAGAGTCCATGGATTTGCTAACAGGCAGGCTCCTTCTGTAGAGGAAGGAAAAAAAAGTCATTTCAACAAAAAACAATGAAAATGATAAGGTTTGCTACTCGTTCCCTAGAAGTTATGTCTATGAAATCAGTGGATAGATCTGATCTAAGACTAACGAGGCACTTTATTGGCACAGAGGCTGAAATAACCAATAAGACTGCTTTGTATAGTAATGCTCCCAATCTTATATTTTTAGTTCTGTAAAACGTACACATACACAATTAAAAAAAAAAAAAAAAACTTTGTAGAAAGTCATTTGTATTTGTAGTAATCTTCTGTGCAACTTGTAACAAGCCTAAATTTTAAACAATTGAGGAAGAATTGTGTCTGCAATGATAATGCCTCTGCATGGGGAAATATAAATCTTAATCCCACGAAACCAAAGATTATACCAATAAATCAGGTCTTTTACAGCTAATCTTGCCTCCAAGTACATAGATACCCAAAGATAATAGTAAAAATGTAAACTTACAGCTGAATCCTAACGAAAAGCCGTATTACCAGAGAGTTTTCACAGGGGAACGTTCAAAAGCTTTGAAATGATAAATACTCTACAGGCAGCTGTAGTTCTGCCTACGTGTGCGTACTAGCTATAACACCACTAATGACTTTAAGGCTCCTTTAAATTGTATTCGGTCAATATACGCTGCAGTTGGTAGGGCTTTCCTCATTTTAAGCATATGATAAGTAGCTACAAGATTGGGGCCCACAGTATCATATTACATCTACAATTAAAAAAAAAAGTTTGCAATGCCCTTAAATCAGTTTTTCATTAAAACACTAAAGAAAATTATTTCAGAAACAAAACAACTTCCCAGGGAGGCTATAATTTGATAATGAGGTACGCCAATTTACCAACTAGCTCCAAGTAGTCACCAGGAAGAACAGCCCTGCTGTTCCTCCCTTCCGCAGCTGCAGACTGCCCTGGCACTTGTGCTTTGGCACATCTAACACTACGTTAGTGCTTCTGCACATCTAACTCACAGCAGGTCAGTTTAAGCAGCTCAACTGGCTGCCATGGATTCAGGTGAGCTCCAGTACCAGCTCAAGGAAGGGCGTGCACATTTGGCCCAAACAGAGATAGAAATTTCTCTTTTCAAGAGCAGCTAATGACTCAATAATACTGTTAAGCCCAATCTAACTTCACCTTAACTTGTATGTACATAGGCCCAGTTTTGTCAGAGATAGTATACTGTCTAAGCCAGTAAACCAATTTGAATTGTTGTTTATGATTACTATAATTTACCATAACTGGAAATTATTTTTCAATATTTCTTCCATGACTCTCACCTTCAGTTATAGTACAAGATTTCTCAGGATATTACATTCAAGACTTAAACCCGAAAGTACCTCACTTACCCTTTGGAACCAAGAAGAGATTTTGCATCTGCCACATCTTCCCCTGATTGTAGTCCATCTCTTACATCTGTCATTATGGTTCTTAATTATCAGCTTAAAAACATAAGTAAACAGAAATATAAGACAGTTCACTTTCATACATATTGCTTAATTTTCGTTACATTTCCTTATAGTTGAAAAGAATGAATGAATGTTAAAAGAGATATTCACACAGAATAATTTTAGCTGAGGAATATGAGTATTGGTAGGCAAAAGTTAGCATTTCTGAGTAATCTCTAGGTAACATATTGGAAAGAACATGAATATTTTTCTAAATTATTGCACTTTAAAGTGTAACAACTCTAAAAAAAGAGTTTGCTGTTACCAAGTGATTGAAAACACCTTGAAAACACCTACACGAAAGCAGGGTGAGACACAAAGAAACTGATGGCAATCATAAAAATATCATCATGTCCATATATGCATTAATAGCTTTCTTAACATGATGAATACTGTGCCACTCTTGGATTGTTTCATCTCGGTAAGACAGAGAAATTGAGATCCAAAACCAAGCAATATAAGTTATCTGATGTCTGCAAAGACTAACATACACGATTAGATACTAGGACAAAGAATTTTGCTAAATAAGTCATTTTTATGCATGCTGTTTCACAAAAAAACATCACTGCATCCGATCGCAACTGGGGTAGATGAAGCAAACGCAGTAAAAATAACACAGAAACCCAACAACATAACTTTAAATAGTTCATTGAAAGAGTAAAAAATATACTGCGGGCTGCTATTGACTTTTGATCAGAACATGGGCAGGGAAATGATGAATGATACCAAGGCAGAAATGAACAACAATAACGCTCCCTCTTAGTTACTCTGTGTATAGTCATGGAACACATTCCTACAAGTTATCTTTCACCCAGGATTCAGAAAAGGATTAAGCATTATATAAAGTTAAATCATCAGGTAGGACAAAGCAGTAAATGCTTAGACCACAAGAAACAGTCTCGACACTACAAGGTAAGAAATGTAAAGAAACTTGCTTAGCAGGCGGATTATGTTGATTTATGGTTAAAAGGAGATATATAAATAGCCAGAACAAGTAGTAAGTTTTGTTGGATGGAAAAGATGAAGATTCTTATTTAAATCTATGTGAGGCTGGCAACTATATTTGCCACCTGACACAGTCATATTATTGTCTGTTAATTTCATACTTATACTCTAGCTAATACACCTTGCAACCACACATTTTCCATGACAGTAATTACTAATGCCTCCGAAGCACCAATCTGAGCATATATAACCTTCTCTCTTTCCTTGTTTCTTAAAGACAAACTTATTTATAGTTTAGTGGCTTCAAAAGATGTTCGAGGTTGCTCTGAATACTATTCTCTGTAACTGGGAGTGCTGATGCAATTAAGAAATCTTCTTGCTCATAACATGATTCCAGGCTGTGAACTATATCATATAAACTAGCAGCACACAGAAGATTCCCTGAAAAACAAACTCCAAAAGCATCAAATAAACTTGACATCTTTTATTTTAGAAATTGACTTTAAAGACAACAGCATAGCATAGGCCAGCAACTAGGTCTAGGGTGTTGAACACAGATCATGCCAGCACTATGATCTGGATTCATTTTTCCCAACTTGGAGGTTTAATATCTTGTAAGTTCCCTATGTAAAGAAAGACAAGCTCTTACGAAACTTAAGTTAAGTACCTGAGAGCTGAATCACTCTTCAGAGATGCCTCTTTCTCTCGATTTGACTCTAGAAAAACCTAGGGCAATTGTGCTCTTGCCTGTGGCACTGCCGTCATCCAGCCCTATGCCATACCATTGGGCAAGGAGCACCAGTGACAACTAATGGGTCCAGAGTGACAACCTCCTTGACTTTGTTGCAACCTTAATTTACAACTGCTGTCCCCGATCCCAAGCCACAGAAACAATGAAAGTTGCAGAAGTGGCTAGCAGAGAATAGAATTATAATGAACTACAATAGTTTGTTTTTGAAAAATGCAAGACATTTTGCAATACTATATTATAAATATATTTTTTACTAAAGCCTTTGCAAGCCTCGTTTCAATTGCTGAAGGAATTGTTGGATCTTAGTGCATTCTATTAGTGCATCTTGGGTGGAGCTTGTCCAAGCGTCTGTACAGAAGCTGGAGAGATACTGAAGAAAAAACTGTGTATAATGCCCACTTGCTTAATATTTGAACATTACGCATTTACAAATTCATCTGCCTCATCTTCAGAATAGAATCTGTAACTTACCTTTAAATTCCATAGACTTTCGAGAACCTTAAAGCACCAATTCACCTGTACTTCTTTAAAGAACAAAAGATATCCAAAAAGAGGTACCTGTCTTATTGCTGGGCTCTCAAATGCACGCTTTATCAGCAGTACTTTTTCTGCCCTACAGCACTAACGTCAGAGTAGCAGCAGTGCTGTCAGAGGACAACGCTGATTCTAACCGAGTACTAAGAATTACCTCATCCTAGTTTAGGTAATGCAATGAGGTCATGCTCTCTCAAGTGGAATACACATTTCCCTGTAGAGGATGATCTCATGCTAGCAGGGATGGTGAGCGGCAGGGGAGAAACCTTTCAGGAAAATATGTTAAGAATTTAATTAAAGTTGTTATTCTGCTCCTTGATATTCTTTTCTCTAAAACCTTAGGTGAGAAGAGCTTTCAACTATATGGAAACTTAAAGATCAAGTAGCTGATGAACAACAGCATTTTTAATCTAGCAGAACATTTTCTGTAAGTTTTAGGAAGCTTATTTTGATAGCTCTTTCTACATTATTTTATTTGAAAAAATTGATAATATTTAAAAATCCTGTGAGGCAGGGATAGAAGGTGTAAATAAAGATAATCTTACAATCATATTTGGAAGTATTAAGCAGTAAAGAATAAGCTTCTTGAAAGGGGTCCAAAATCTAGAGCTGTCAGCAAGCTCTGAGAAATGACTGAAGTAATAGCTTATATGTATAGCAATAAAACCAAAAATATATTTTGCCCTAGATAAATGCAATTGTTCTAATTCTTTTCTTTTGACAGACTAATGATAAATAAAAAAAATGTGTTTACCCTAGTCCAGCCTCTTATTCCACCTGAACCTAACAAAATTAAATTCACATAATCTTTATCACTATTGTCATAAGAACCATCAAATTTTTATTCAAAATAATACTTGCCTGAATATTGAGCCATACGAGACAAGTTAACAATACAGAGATAAAAATAATACCAAAGCTTCTCAGACAGGAAAGGAAGCAAATAACCCATCTCTAGTTACCAACCATACCCTGAAATATGCAAACCACAGCAGACAAGAGAACACATGTTCAGTATAAGCCAGCTGCTACAAAGCAACGATCATAGCAGTACAAAAACATGTCTCAAACGGAATCCAAGATCATAAAACGTATCTATAAAGACTGCCAAAGGGCACAGTTTTCCACCTCACATGCTTGCAAAAGAAAACGTCAAACATTCAAGGCAGCTTTTTTTAATGTATATGGATAAGGAACATTGCAATACCAATGCAGACATGCAAAATTAATAGTTTACATTATATAATGTATATTGATAATTAGATAATAGCAGAAGGAAAATATATAAATTGTCTATAAGAAAAAACAAAAAAAAATTTGAAAAATATCATATTTTCTGTGTGATATTACACCATTATCAAATGCTGCTTCCCTTGATGGAAGCATGCCAATATTGTGACAGCACTTCACGCTGCTTCTAGCCTGGATGTGGTTGCTGAAAAGCACTGACACCGGGCCAGCAGTCTGATCTTCCAAAGACGAACAGATTTAGTTAATCAGCATTGATGTGTCAACTCAGCACATTGAAAATTTATTCCCAGAATACACAGGGCCTTTGCTTATTCATCCATCTATACCTATTAGCTACATTATCACCACAACCAATAACGTTAAGGAGCCTGATCGGCTGCTAGGGGCAAAGAGTATATTTTTAAGCCTGCCTACTAACCACAAGCAGAAACTCAGAAGAACTACAACTATTAGCTGGAGAATCAAAGAGTAGATTACCTATACTATCCTTCAATCTAGCAGCGAACGGACCGACAATACCTTGGACAGGGACATCTACATGCTATAAAAACTTAGGGTAACAGTTTCTGTCAAGTGAGTGACTCAAGTATGTTGATATTTTTCCCTGTATTTGCAGGATCAGAACGTTAAGAGGCAAGTAAACACTCTTACCACCGCATTCGTGAATCTGATCTCAGGATGAATCTTAGCTAACACACATCCAGCATTTTGTTAAGAACTGGGTCACTGAACTGCCGTTTTTCGGACAAGACTTGACCTGCTGTCTCCAAAGAGTTGTTTTGGTAAATCCAAGTGCAGTTTTTGGCCCTAGGTTTCAAGTCAGTTAATAGTCTATCAGAGGGACACTGGAAAGTAGTTTTTTAAGTTTAGTAATCTTTTCCACACACACACACACACACACACACACACAAATGCTCCCGTCAAAATAAGAAACGATTAGTTTTAAGCTTCTGGTAAATCAATAACCCACCCCAATCCAGGTGTTCCTGTCCCCCACCCCCCACGGCCACGGCCACAGCCCATCGCCAAGGCGCCGGGGCTGCTCTCGCAACGCTCTCCCCAGCCAGCGGAAAGGGCAGGGCCGGCAGCCACCCCGGGCGGGCTC